TGATTTGAAGCTTTTTATCCTAAGCTGTCTATATACCAACTTTCTTTCTGTGCTTGTGCTTGATAGTCGTGATATAGCTACGAAAAGTGAAAGCGCCTTCTTGTGTATCTGGGCTTGCGTAGGGAGTATTCCTGTTAAGATGTATATCGCTGCTTCAGGAGTTGGTAATGGTAGTGCTTGAGGACCTTATTCGGGACCTTTTCTGGAATATCTCTAGCCTTTTCCCCTGGTAAGTTGTTGGAAGAGACGTCTCCGTTGATATGCGGAGTTGCAGAGAAGTGTTGCATCGTTCGCGCAAGTTGGGGCACTGCAGTCAATGGTTCCAATCCTAGCACCTTGACCTGTATTTTGTAGACGATCTAAGAGGTCGTTGATGTAGAGTTCGTATAAGTCTGTGCTTAGTAATCCACCTTGCCGGACTCCCTGGAGTATGTTGAAGCTATTCGAGAACTCCCCTTTACATTTGATCTTACTAGCCAAATTATTATGGAGACTCCTGATTGCCGTTCCGGCCTTTCTCTCCACCCTACACATATAGAGCTTTCGCATAAGGCTATTGTGATGGACTATGTCTAATGCAGTTTTGGCGTCAAGATAGGCGGCAAACATGAACTTCTTTTGGTCACTCGCCTCACATCATCGGAAAGGCGTGCGCTGTGAAGCCTCTTTGTAGAGGGTTCTGTTTACTCTGGATTTCTGGTATTATAATGGTAGTAAGTAGCGCCTAAGGGACCTTGGTTAGGATTGGTGATTGGTAATTCCTTCGTAATTCTAAGCGTCGAACTTGCTGCATTTATTTTTGAAAATTGGAGTGATGGTACCTTCCTTCGTTCTAGATGGGATGAAGCCGGTTTCCATGAATGTTTTCATGATATTCGTGATCGCCAAGACGACATCCTCTCCAGCGTTGAGTATATGTTCTATTGCAAGGCCATGAACGTCCTCCGACTTGTTTTTGTTGAGACTTGTGATAGCTTTTAGTACATCTCCCCTAGAGAACTCTATCATTTCTTGGTTCGTCTGTCAAATTTCGACTATCATGTCCACATCGTATATGACTTTCCGTGCAGTTTGATAGTCAAAGTCAACGTTGTCGGCAGGAACTGCCAAGGATCGAGCTGACGTGATTTGCCCAACCCTGGAGAACTTCATTTCCACTATATGTTTTATCCAAGACGTGTAGCTCTGAAATACAGCCAGCCAACTTCCCTCTGTGCTTGTTGATTAACATGTAGATCTTGTTGGTGTCACTAGCCCTTGCATCCATAATATCTGCTCTATGTCGTCTGTTGCTATTCTGATGAGCCGCCTCAGATCTATTCTGGCCATTTTCCTTTCAATTATGAGGGAATCGGAGGGGTCAGACGATCTCCTGTTTGTTTGTCATTCCCAGTGCGAGTATCGTTTCCGTCGAATTACATGGGTAATTTCCTCATTCCACACGTGTAACCTGTTCTTTCTCCTTTTCCATCATCCAATATATATGACGGACAACCGACCTCTATAGGCTTAGATCATTCAAAACATAGCTCGGGTTCCTCGAATCTAATTTAACCATCCTCGGAACAAATACCTACTCCTGGCGTTGACTATGGAGTGGTGGTATTTGACCGATTCGAAACCAAATACGATCACCACGCCTTCTCATTTGCTGAAAAGCGTTCGACTTCTCCTGTTTCGGCGTGTTGATAAGATAGCTATACATCCTTGCCACTGATTGGTTGATATAAAGTCCGCTTCTTTTGAATTTCCAGTTTACATGGATAATTTAAATCCAACTTAGTACAATGAACATGATGTTCAAGATCAAGATTGTAATGGCAATATCTTTCGTGCTGATACGTAACCAAAATGACTGGCTCTGCCTCAATTTTCTTTTCAAATTAAATTTTCTTAGCATCAGCACGGACTTAGATAATCTACTTACGTGTCATCAGTAACCATTTTAAGTTTTATTGATATTTTATATCTAAATGAGAATCATCAGACCACGCCAGCAAATAAACAAGAAATCCTTTGGAGTCAGTTGCGTGTGTTTATTTTTTCAAATAAATAGATTTAACACGTAAAGAAGAAATGTAGAATAATATTAACTATAAGATATCAGACACCCCATCCCCCCGCCCCACCCAAACCCCAAAACAAAAACAAAAACAAAAAAACAACATACACAGTAGATATGTCACAATTGTTACTTTTTTTAAAGTTCTCTGCATCTGTAGTCTAAATTGCCAGTTGTATTTACACTCCTTATAAAGTACAATATTTTTTGAGGAGCAAATATATTATATAATCGACTTTCCCTTATTGCTGAAACATATTGTTTATTGCGTAGTAACATGTTCTTAAAATATGAATAAATTCAATAATTGAACATTTTCAGACATTATCATTACAAAATATGTAATATTTCCGGTAGAGCAAATGGGGCAACATTTTTCCACAACTCATCCACTTTAAATATAAAGGGAGGTAACTGGAATTACAAGAATCGACGGTACTATTACTGTAGACTGACCTTATTCATGTATCAAGGAATCTTTGCTATATTGGTCTATCAAGAAAACATTTAAAAGTTTTTGCGTTAGCTTGTTAGGTCGGTGAGCTATGGTGATTTTTAAAGGACACTAAAAATAACAATTTATTGATTATGCATATAAATAAAACATCTCAAAATGTAAATAGTAAAATGTGGAGGTGTACATAGTTACATACAAACTGGTGATTATACATTCAAGATAGATCTACATTGAGCATTCAAAGATACTTCTTTCTTTAAAGTGAACGCTCTTTTCTACATATACATACAATACATACATACAAAATTTATTTCACACACACACACACAAAAAATTCAATAATTTTACCAGGAGTTTCACCTGTGACAAAATAATAGCTACACGTTTTGTAATAGTCTGTCTAGAGGTCAGACAAAATTTGTCTTAACACCAGGACTCTACCGGTAGTAGCATGGTGGGGGTCAAACAATCTAGACCTCACAATTGTCTGAGGCTGAAAACAAGCATAGTTGCAACTATTGCAGCATTTGAACCGTACATACATTATTAAATCATTTAGATATGTAAAAAAACTTTGCTTAATAATACAGTATGCCATAATAAAAATTGTTTTTATAATCGTGTTTATCACCCACACCTCGCCGAACTCGCATCATATTCACATTTTCCTGAAGTATACATGCTATGTTACTCCGATGTTTAGATTCTTTCCAAACGAATTCCACATTATAAAACCTGTACAGTGTCTTTTAGAATTGCTAATTTGGACATTTGACATTAAACAAAACAACAAGTTTATTATGAGGCATTTTGTCATGCCAGTTTAAACATTATTAAAGGAAAAAAAGTAATTGTAAAGTTAGCATATGGTCTTAATTTAGCAATATCATATAACTCAGATTGTCTTACCTGTTACCTGATAATACATAAAACATAAAACATATTATCTTACACTTAAATTAAGCGTAGAACTCTTTGAAATGGAAATACTCAGCATTTACCCATACTAGTATACTTAAATAAAATGATTGCAACAATCTATAACAAGCTTAGTGACTTCTTCAGGACATTTTACTGAAAGCATCGTGAGCAATATTTTGCATTGGTCCATCAACTATAAGTTGAATTAATGAAAGTGGAGACTGAAATGAAAATTTAGCAAGATTCAATATGAAGATGACATTCTTTATCTTAACACAATTATAAAGGCAAATACCAAAATAACATAGGTAAAAAAAATCAATACAAAGATACAAAAGTACACATAGTACCCTTTTTTAACCGTTTTAGTCAAGCAGCTAACTTTTTCATAAGTCAAGATTAGATCTTTTATTTTGGTTTTTACCTTATACTGAGTTTGCTTATGATTGATATAGATGATAACTCCTAATTGTATAATACAATACATTCGAACTGATATAGTTATGGAATTGTTTCTGCTACAGCATGTTACCTACAGAAAGTTAGTAACAAGACAGGTCAACATACAACATCAATAACAACAACAATAAGAGAATAAGAGGAGAAAGATGTACAATGGTGTTCCTCACATTTTTTTTCAAACAGTCTAAATGTCTAAAGCTGGAGAGTAGCAAACATGTTACTTCCATCTAATAACAATAATAATTTGAGGTTCTCATATACCGCTTTATCACAAACTAGTTCACTGGTCGTTTCAAAGTGGTTCACAAATTATTAACCGTGGTTCATAGGCCCTTTTCAACCAGCCAATATCTTTCTCAACTCCCTGGGGAGCATACAGCCGGTGCTGCCATTTCGCCGCTCATTGCTAGCATTCAACAATTCTAGCTGAGTAGACTGGAACAAGCAGAGTAATGTATCTTGCTCAAAGATACAACACAGTGCCGTGCAGTGACTAGAACCCACAACTCTTTGGTCACGACCCCAGCCTCCTACCACTAGACTATTGTGCCTCCAGTACCTAAGTAATTAGTGGAACCTATTGTCCAGATTCCACCCAGGAATATTAACAAGGCGTTTTGATCTTTCATTCAAAGAAGTTGAAATTATCTTCTGGGTTTTATTTATCTTTGCACTTGTTTTCCAACATTATGTTTATACCTAGTAACCTCAAGTCAACTGGCATCATGAATGCGTGAAACATGAATGTTCTGGACACACTCTAAAATTTCACAAGGTACAAAATTTCGCAAGGTACAAAATTTGTATGCGAAAGTAGCGAAATTAAAACCCCTTTGAATATTGGCAACTATATGGTAGTGACATGTCTTATGTTAACATAGATAACATAGCTTATGATACCTGTGTGAAAGATGTGCACTTTGAGGTGACAGTCTTTGAAACAGTGCTCAGCATTATTGTCTTGTTTGGACATATCATTGTCTTGTTTGGACATATCATTGTCTTGTTTGGACATATTATTGTCTTGTTTGGACATATCATTGTCTTGTCATATCATTGTCTTGTTTGGACATATCATTGTCTTGACATATCATTGTCTTGTTTGGACATATTATTGTCTTGTTTGGACATGCCTCGAGGACATGTTTATACTTTATCCTCAGCACAGATTCTGATTTTGAGCATGAGAACAGTTTCATGAAACGGAACTCATTCTCTAGAATGGATTATGTGCTCATACTGGTTTTCTTATAGCTTGCTTAAACCATTTCTCACTTTTAAAGTCAAGTCTAGAAATTGAAAACGGTATTCGGCTTCAAATCGCTCGAACATACTTCCAAATCATTGACAACAAATGATTGTTCATTTATTTATCGCCGTAACAAGATATTGCTCTTGAGCAAAAAATCTTAAATTTGTAAACAAATGTTTGGGCCAAAGAGAAAAGGACATCTGCACATACATTGCAGTATACTTATCAGCATGTGTATAATATATACATGTTTTACATCAAGACCTTTAGCTAAAGTTAACTATTCTGGATTAAGCCCAGGACCATTTTCACCCCATTTGTAAGGACTAGTCACAAATGTAAATTATTTTCATCAACGTCCTAGCGAAAAGCTCAACATTTAGTATGATGACAAGAAATATTGCTAATACATGAATCCTTCATCATCACCGTTTTGTTATGGACTTGGGTGGCAAACAAAGCACAAAATGTCTCTAAATATCTTTATAAGATTAGTGACTAATTTTGACAAAATAAAATAAATCTCCCATTGCGAAATATCTCTTGACATCAGAATTTTGTAAAAACAATCTCCTCTGCCAATTGTCACTTGATGTGGATTTTTAATAACAGGCCTGTACTGCTAACCTGGATGAACTTTCCCCCGGGTATGCCCCACTCTTCATTTAATCCAAATTGATTCCCCTTATCTTAACCATGTAGCCTTTCTGAATATGGAATTATTCATGAAAAGTCAATGGACCGACGACAGACAATGTACCATGGCTTAACCTCACATGATCTTCACGCCATGTAAACTTAAAACAAGCCTCCTAGTCTCCAATGAATTACTGTATACCAAGAAATTTTCACCTCAGTGTAGTTTTCACCTTTTTTGCCCTCTGTATTAAACGAGAGTGATGTTATCATTACAGCGAACTGTAGTTAGCGATATAATAAATGTAGTAATCAAACGTGAAGGGCGAAATTAACATTGTGCGAAATAGATTTTACCTGTGTAGGGCGAAAGTTTATCCGGATGAAAGTTTCCCAGTACACATTATTTTACTACTTTTATGTAGACATCTGTGAAGCTCTGTTTGTATAACAAACCTCTATATTCTAAGACACTTGACAATAAAAAAATTAACTTTTTAATCATCATAACTATAAAAAATATTATTGGATCTAGAAATTATCAATAATAGAACCAGCATTATATATTAAGCATTATCAAGAGTATTTAGTTATGCCATCAGGTAAAGTTAACTCAGCTCAGATTCCTCAGGTTTCAGTCCCTCTATCTTTGTGGAGTCGAAGTCGGCATGGTTGACCACCATGGCTGCTGTAAATATCATGAAATGAAGCAGAACCATTGTGAGGTAGAAAAAAGTGAGGGGACCACTCATCTGTACCCGCCTCCGCATCGACAGCAAGTTCCACGTGTAAACAGCAGTTCCACACGTCATGTTCATCCACGATATGAAAAGTATACCTAAAAATTGCAAAACTGTTCTTTTTTTAAAGTGAAACATTGCAGATGACAAATCTCAATTATACATTTCGCTTCTGTCTACATTTACAAGCTGGCTATAAACAAATCTGATGCATGTACCACAACTATTTTAGAGTAAATATTAACTCATTCACCCCTGAGGACACATTTGAACTCTTTCAATTCATAGGTTAAGATAGTTCATTATGAAAATTCAGTTATCAGCGAACATTTGTAAACAACATAATTCATGTATACATAGTCAATAAACGTGGAGGGCAAATTTAGTGTTGGTCGAATCAAGATTTTAGCGTCGAAGGGCAAACATTTGACTGTTCGAAAAATGTCCTGGTATACCGTATTTGTGAAAAACAATGCATAGAAATGCAGTATGACAGGATGGTGAAATATACTTTGAATCAATACATATTTTTATTTTTATTTACAGATTAGGAGTTTTACAGCAACCCACTGAAAACCTGCCACAATGAAAAAATACCAACATACCAAATACAGCGTCCACCATTGACTCAGTTTGTACATGTGTGAGTAGGGCACAGCCTGCCACACAGGAGATGTAGGCGTTCCTTGTCCAGGACAGATACCCTGGTAAACAAACCATATATTCAACACTGATCCACTGAAATCACAGATTTGCTATACAATTTTTTAAATGTGTATTAATACCAAAAGAATAACAATCATACTTGCCAGCTCTCCCTATTTAGGAGCGAGACTTCCGATTTTGGACCCTTAATTTCAATATTTCCAACCATTGAATTTGTTGAATTATTCCTATATATTTAAGATCTAATGATTTCATCTGATGGACAAATTCAAAATCTTCCATTTTAAAAGCGTTATTTTCCCCCTATAGGTCTATACCGATCTTTTTTTCAGTTTTTAATTCTGAGCACAGGGAATCTTCCCCATGGAAATTTCAAAAGTTTGCAAGTATGAACTATTATATATAACAATATTGAATATAACAGCAGCAACTGTTTGAGATTTGAAAAGATTTGATAATGACTATTAACCCTTAGGCTGCTACACCCAGCATATGCCGTTCTGAAATTAATTAAATTAAATTAAATTAAATTGATTCTCTCAAATTGTTCTCTTAAATATTCTTTGGATATTTAAAATTTGCATGCTTATCTTTCTACAGACATACCATTTTCAGCAGCAAGACGACAGTTCTGAAAAAAAAAATCAAATGATAAATCAGAGAATATTTTCTGCCTAATCAGTTTAATTCATTATAATTATGTAACTATAGGTACATGTATCTCAAATAGTTCAAATGATAATTATATTGGGCATCATGAAAAGAAAGTTTTAATCTAAGTCTAGCCCGATATTGTCATACTACTTGTTCTATTCATCTTTAAGACACTTGGTGATCATACATTTTCATATGCCTTCAATAATTTTCAGGCTAAAAAAATTTTCAAACAGTTTAAATCAAAGGAATATATCCTTTGACCTCCTACCACAAGCTCTTTGATTGCATGTATATTTTTATGACTTGACAGAGGTTTACAGACAGAATTGGTGGGAACAAAATCAAATATTACCAGCGAACTATCAGATAGTTTTTCAGGCGGGGAATCATGGTCCTCACTCCTGTGAGAATGATGGGTAAATGTCCTGGAAAGGTCAGATGTTCCTGCCAGTCTGTGAAGCAAAGACGGTTTCACCAACTCTGCTCTAGCCAATGTCATGTGTGATGCACTTTGTTGTAAACACAATTTTCTGCCATTCAGACATGTGAAATTTTTCCCAGTCTTGGCAGTCTTTGTCAGAAACACAAAACATCTTCTCAGGGAGGCCATACTATTCCAATGAGTAATGTGGCATACTGTCAAATATATTGAAAAAAAAAGATAATTGATGCTGTTGAAAGAAAATTATTGCATTCTGGGTTGATTAAAACCTTTGCACTAAGCTTGGATACAAATGCAACAAGGAAGTGAAGCACAATCAATTGATCAGGGTCAATAAAAAGCTCTGCACTAAGCCTAGTAATAGCCTTGGTATAGACATTTTGGATTTATCCAGATATACGACTGTCACCAGCACAATATTAAATCAATACTGAGCAACCAGTCCTTTGGACTAAAACATTTATATGTTAAGAAATAAGAATACCGGTATATAAATTTACTAAAAGATTAACTTTTGACGGAAGCCCTTCAGTGAGCCTGCAAAGCAGCCTAACAAATTGAGCTTCATGGGTAACATGTACGTACATATCAGAAACTTCAGTCAAAACCTACAATGAAATCTCTCCCTGATGATTGATAGGTTTTACGTCCGCTTCACTACCAAGTAGTTCGGTTATCCAGCAGACCAAAATCTTTCCCAGCTAGGAGGTCAAGTTAACTTGCTTAATTTAGGAAATTGTGCATGCACAAATTCTTTTAATGGAAGCTGCCATTTTGGATTTACTGGATGTAGAACTATAATTTAAGACGCCCAGAGGGCCTGGTTATTTAAGCAATCATGGCAAATAAAATTCATTAAATATTATACTGCAAATATTTCAAAATATTGCATGGCTTCGTCTCTCTGCAACATCTTTTTGGCTACCATCCCTCTGTCCCCATTGGGGTTTGGGGGCACCCATAGATTATACAACATTGAATCTTGTTGGGCTAAGGACAATCTATATCAAATTTGGTTTAGATTCCTTCTTCTGTATGGAGGGTAGTGTTGGGTAGTAAACAGATCACTGAGCGATGGCATTATCGGTTTATAATTTATTTGGGACTGAATATCCAAATAAAGTTAGAGCACTTCTATTACATCAATAGACAGCATTGTTCATTATACATCAGGTTTTATTCTTTTATAATGAATGTATGCCAAGCAACGTTTATGCATTTTTATCAACCATATAGTATAAATCAATAAATCATAACAATATATGACTTTCAAAGCATACTTTACATGAAAGACATTTAAATACTCTGATTTCAATTATGAACAAATGATATTGATATGGAATTTGTAATCTGGAAAGAACAAACCAATCAATTTTCTATTATAATCGATCATCAGCCCATCACTTATGGAAGGAAAAGGATTTTAACATTTATCTCTATTTACTTTAACAAGGGACCGCACCCTCCATTTACAAAAAATTGAGTCTTGTATTCTCAAGGATGGACCTAATTTGGTTAAAATTTCTCCATTCCTACAGAATGAAATTAATTTACTTTTTCCTAAAAAATAGCATTGCTCTGATGGGAAATTTTGGACGATTGAAAATTGAGGACTCCACTGATGGAATGAAGCAGCTTTTGGTGATAATAAGGGTGGATTTGGATCAAAGAATATTTCATTTATCAATAGTTGTGAAGTATGTGTTGTTGTCATTATCATTATCAGAGGACTTGGTAGGTAGGGGATACCCCATCACCTTTTCTCTGAGCCGTATTGTTATTTTGCTGTATTTACATAAGAAATCAGGATCTTAACAGACTCAAATGTATTTTACATATATTTAAAATTTTGATCATTTTTTCGATACCGTGATTGTAACTAAACAAATTTTCCTTTACCACATTCCATTATCTTAATCAAATATAATCTCATAGTGTAATGTGTGTGGTTTTTTTAATAAATATCTTATTTTAGTTAAATATGGTCTTATTTTTGTGTGTGCTTTTGTATGAACTTGTTTTCCTCTAAGCACGAGTTTCTTCTGGCCCTGACACCAGACTTAGACATTTCTCTTCAGAGCTAATGTTACATGTTATATATATACGACAAAAAATAAAGTTTCTGGTATCTTGTATCTTGTCAGCACCTCAAAACTCTCCAATACCAAAACGGTTTAGGAGAATTCCACGTTTTCGTTTCATAGTAGAGTGCTCTGGCCCTACACCAGACATGTCAAAATGTCTAAGTCTGATGTCGGGCCAGAGGAAACTTGGGTTCCGCTGCCCCCATGGGGAGCCATAACCTTCAGTCAAGCAAAATTGTGTCCTCTTTTGCCCAAGGATGCTTTATATCAAATTAGTGAAAATCTCATCATTCATACAGAAAAGGAATTTTATAAAAATTGGTTAAAATCCTCTATTTGTATGGGAGAAAGACCTGTCAGTGTCACTACTGTTACTGTTAGGCCTTACAAAAAGCCTTCTGCAGCATAACGGCAGGTGATTCGTGTTGTTCGCCGATACTCGCGCGATAGGAAGTTATATTTGACGACTTACCGGTACCACAATAATGAGTTGATTAAATCAGAGGAAATGTCAAAGCGGCCAGTTGTGCCTACAATATTTTGATAGCGTTTATGTTCCACATCAACGCTCTGCTGCACAAACACAGGATGGAAAGTATATTCACCGGGGATTTCCTCGATTTTCGACACACTGACGTTTTCTTCAGTGTGTACCAAAAGTCTTAGGATATCCGAATGCCACTGTCATCATTGTCATTCTAAAGCTTTGAAACAGTGGTATTCATAAGAGTATTAACGAGTAAGATTTACTTTCACTTTGATCAAAAAAAGGGGGAGGGGATGTGGATTAAGGTTAAGTTGTTCCTTGTATTTCATTCATGATATTTATTAGTCATATCGTAATCATATGAAAATCACTAACTACAGATAATTATATCGCAAGAAAACTATACTCTGCAAATGAACGGATGACAGCATGGCCTTGACATCTGAACTGATAACAGCTGAGATTTGAAGATTACCTGCTATGCTTTACATATCGCCATCGGCCACATAACAATTTTATTGACTGGTAAGTTTGTTTGCAGACTGATGATAATGTTCAATAATTACACATTTAAGCTTTTATCAAAACACATCACTTACATCTTCAATTCCCACATACAAAATATAATGTACCATGCAAGTTCAATTAAAACATGTATACACATGAATTTGAGTTAATATATAACCACCACAGGTGGCTTATGTAACATATACTATAGCCCGATATCGAGTACTTGTGGTATCCACAACCATTTGAATTCGAGCCAATCCGTTCCTATTTGAGAATATTCCATGTTTCCTTTTTATCAACCTTAGCTATTATATTTACTGCAAGTTCTATTTAACTGAAAATGTCAGCTCCTTACATGCATACATAGAAGCAGGACCTCAAAGTCCTCTTTTTTTAATTGTACTTGTATCATTGCTAAAGGTAAATGTTACTTTTTTCTTCAAATAATGCCAATGTTTCAATTTCAATGAACTGAAACAAACTTTCAAACCCATCACGTCCAGCTCAGATATATAAATATTTCTAAGGTTTTTATTGAGAACTGTTTCTATTTCTGAAACAACAAATATGAAAAATGATAATCAAACATGGATAGTATTTAATGATCAGTTTTATATTTTGATGGTTTTAGTCTGCCAGCCTCTGATTAAGATGTTCACATTTATGTGGAATGCACAAACAATTGTTATCCTTAGTTTAAACTTTATTTTTTATTGATGTTAAATTACAATAGTACATGGTTATTAATACAGAAAAGGATCCAGAAACAAGTACATAGTACTTATGTAAATCCGTCTCCTTATGGACATAACAGCAGCTATGGATCAGTACTGACAATATTATAATTCATATAAATAAATATAAATATATATAAAGTATAACATGTGCAGGGAAAAGAAAGAGAAAGGGTGCAAGGATTTATAGTGGGATGGGGATGATGTTTGATGGGGAAGCGATGGGTATCAAAACTGCATTGAGAGAACAAATGCTGATTGCATGAATACAAACGATATTTGACAAAAGAGCACTGTGTCTGTACATGTTGTGGAAAGTTTAGGTAGTATGTTATGAAAACAAATTAAAACTACAAATGCAATTCTTAACTGGCACTAATGATCTGTAACACTCTATGCAGATTGTTATCCTTAATTAGTTAGTCTGCATTATCCCTGATCAGTAAAGAAAGGGAAAGATTCCTGTTAACTAGTCAGGTTTAATGATATCAATAATAATTTAAGGCTAAGGATAAGGACCTAAACACAATCTGTATGTGTCATTATATACTTTTGAAGTCGCCAAACAAACCAGTATTTTAGTCATTGGATAAAATACATAATACAATGTATTAAGAAAATGTCCAAACATTATTTTGATCTATTTTCAATAATTGTCCCCTTTGCAAATCAATACAAATCTGCAATGATAAATTGCAGAATTTCTTCAAGGATTGAGGGGAAAGTCATGTGCAGCTTAATTAAGTACTTTCATACATTAGAATGATATAGTATGTACCTTTTATAGGAATGGTTTACATGCATGTGTATATAAAACAGGTCTGGTGGTACTTTAATTATATTCAAAAATGAATTATCTCAATTATTTATAGATCATTACGAGTCATATATGTATCTCCTCTTTATTTCTAATCATGAAGATTTACTTTTTCAGTTAAAGTGCATACCTTGGAATGACAACGGAGGAGGCTGAAGTATTGTCGGACCTGCGACATAGCCTGAAAAACATTTTAGACAGAGAGGAAGATATTCTAAAATTTTCCCGGAATGTTGTTAAAGGTATGATTTCATTTCAGGTCTACGGCTGTAGTAAAGATATAATGCAGTACTTGATAGTCAATTGAATACTTGGAAGTAAATTGAATTGATATTTTTTTGCATTACCAATTTTAAATCTTGATATTCCAATCAGCAGCTATTAAATGTTTGTTGAATTGCTTACTTTCATTTATCTTAAATTTGAAAAAAGAAACCACCTTGAAAATGGATAGAATTCCAACAAGGATATTATCATGCAGTCATTATTACCCGGTAAATGGTCAACAAGCAGCCATACTTAAAATTACACTGGCATAAGACTAGTAGTTAGTGCCTGATAAGGCTTATTCCAGCTAGATGGGGCTATTTATTAGATGTCCAGGTGAACATATGGCATCTGATAAAGATCCCTTTCGAGCTAGAATAAGCCACTCGGAGGGGCTTACAATACATAAATATACATTCTGAAGATTTTCGTAGGAGCTGCCTTATCAGGCACCAACTACAAGTCTTATGCCATCTTGCTAACTATTCCCACATATATGCATTCCTTCATGTATGCTGGAGATGTAGTAGTGTTCTGTTTTGGGGGTAGGACCATGCTTCCAACACTAAAAGTATCTTTTTCATAATGCAACCTCTTTTGAATGATACAGCACAGACACGGTCACACCCATCCCAGACCATTTTATACACTGCCAGTGGGTTGTTGGAGTTGTGTGGGCAGGAGAAAAACTATTTTATATGAATTTTTCATGTTAAAACAATGTTGGGAATCAAACTCTAGCTATTGATGCAATTGGAAGGTCAGATTGTTCACAACTCGACCAGATCAACAAATTATTAGTCATCATCTATATGAATATACAACTGAATACATGTGTGGACAAACAAAATCAACACAGCAAATGTAGTTTATTACATGTAGGCAGTTTCTTCTTAGTTTTAACATCATTGTACCTGTAAACAATACTTATGAACTTACTTATAATAAACAAATTACAAAAATCCTAAGAATCCAAAGCGGTTTGTTTTTCATTATCTGAGTTCGATTTTCGGAACTTGAATTACTCAAAAAATGCCTGCGCAAATTACATAGGTGCTAGGCACTTATTTAAATAATTGACAGTATTTTCAAATAAATCTCGTTTTATCACAAAATATAGCAATATACATACATATATGTATTACAATATCAATATATCACAATACATGTTCTCATTTTAAAAAGAAATACATAACATTGATATTATCTTGGTTGCATTCATATACCTATTTATAATGTTAAAAAATACTTTTAATTTACAGAAACCAATGGTGTCAATGACTTTGTAAATGGAAAAATCAGCAAATTGTTTGGACTTGCTTCAACTTACAGGAATGCATTTGAAAGGTATCTCTATATAGGCATCAGTTATCACATACTTAATTTCCTTTTGTCATTAACTTATAATGTAATCCATAGATACCTCCTTATATGGAATGAAGATAATGTCAGTGATATCATATTACACAAAAAAAGTTCTTTAATGTTCCTTGTACATGTACTAATGAGATGTCAGGGGATATCAGAACATTTCTTTTTTAAATAAAAAATAAAAAACTAAAGAACTTAATACAAGATTTAATAAATTCCTACAAGTGAACTGAGTTTCAACATAGTGGGTTACATGCACAGGGACTTGAAACGTTCCTTTGACCCAAAATCAAAATGAAAAAAACAATTACCCATGGTCCGACCCCCAGATCAAGTCATCTGGGGGTCGGACCATGGGGTATTATTTTTCATTCTGGGTCATAGCAACTTCGTGAGCCAAGGGTGTTCAATACGATACTCTCCTATTCATAGGAGAGTATCGTATTGAACACCCTTGGCTCGCGAAGTTTGGGTCATAGTAACGTGTCAATTCCCTGTGGTTACATGTACAGCAGGCCGGTAAGTGTAAAAGAAAAGTGTCTTATTTCATGTAGTGGTCATAATTATTATCCAAATTTTTCCAATTTGCTATTATGGCAATAATTTCTTTGCCAATTTCATCAAAGAGATTGTTTTTCAAAACCCCTGGGATTTGAAAAGCACATGTAAATTTATCAAATGACTATGCTTCATGGTTTTTCAAAAAGTCAAATAATGTACCAGGTATATCATATCTTCACTTTGAGAAAAAATGTGATCATACAAATTCAAATTAAAAAAATCACTGGAAAAATGGAATGTCTTTTATCGAACCTAGATACTGAAATCAGTATCCTAACCTGTTGGGAAAATACAGTGTACACTGAACTTTGAAGACCAACTGTCTATGAAGACCACCTGTCTATGAAGACCACCTGTCTATGAAGACCAACTGTCAATGAAGACCACCTTCCTGTAACAACCATCAAATAATTAACTAGATTATGTTTTATTTATTTAATTAACTGGATTTATTTAATTAACTAGATTATGTTTTATTTATCGCTATATGTCATTATGGCAATGATCGATCAGTTATCACCATACTTGCTTTCTCACTTGATTGATCATTATCTCATTCACCCCTAAAATTTCATAATAAACAGTATTCCAACCTTTGAGATGTGTCTTCAAGGGTGAATGTGTTATATATATGTGTATATGTGTGCTTTTGTTTTTGTTTTGAAAAGGCACAATATATAGTTCTGTTTCTTTTCAGATTGAAAGTTACAAACAAGAAAGATTTTGATAAAGTCGTGAAAAAAAACTTCAGGTGAGTGTTATATATTCAAAAGTTAAGGTTTATGAAGTGCAACTGATTAAAAATGGCTGACAAACCGGTTTTATATATTTTCCACTCTAATTTCAAAATATTAGTCTGCATGTCCAAAATACAATTGTCAATGTGACAGTTGCACTCATACTTATGAGTTCTG